CATGGCAAAAGGGGCCTTGCAGATGTGATTAAATTAATGATCTTGAGGTGGGGGATGATCCTGGACTATCCAGGTGGGCCATAAATATAGTCACAAATGTCCTTATAAGGAGATTTGGGAATTCCCTGGCAGTTCAGTGGTTAGGACTCTGCACTTCCACTGCCGAAGGCCTGCTTCAATCCCTGGTCGTGGAACTGAGATCCCACAAGCCGTGCAGCATGGCTAAAAAAACAAATAAATAAGCAGATTTGATGGCAGAAGAAGAGAAGGCCAAGTGGCTATGGAAATGGAAATTGCAGTGATGTGGCCATGAGCCAAGGAAAGCTGGAGGCCACCAGAAGCTGAAGAGGCAAGGATTCTCCCCTGGAGCCCCCAGAAGGAATCAGCCTTGCTGACACCTTGACTTTAGTCCCATTAGACTCATCTCACACTTCTGGCCTCTGAGTGTAGGATGATAAATTTGAGTTGTCTTGTGCCACTGTATTTGTGCCACAGCAGCAATAGGAAACTCACCCAGGAGCCATTACCAAACCTAATAGTGGTTACTCCTGAAGGACAAGATCTGGTGGGGGAATGAAGACTTTTATTCTTGCCTTTCCCTTTTGTGTTGTTGACATGCCTGCAAAACTCATATATTATTTTTATAATTAAGAGAAAAGAAAAGACAATGCAAGTGAAGCACTTGGCCCACTCCAGGGGTACTCCAAGTGCGCAGACTTCAGTGGTTGTCATGGTTACACCAGGGTTCATTTTATTCCTTTACACCAACACCGATGACTCCCCTGCCATGAGGCCATGTGTGGTACCCTGGAGCCACGAGGCAGCTGGCGGTGTTCTGTGCTGCTGGAGTCCAGAGGTCTCACCCACATGGGGCCTCAGTGCAGAGTATGGATCAGATTGAGGCCTCCCCCCGCACCCACCACTCTGCGGCAGGCACGTTTTATGTCCTGAGACCGCCAAGAGTATTCAGGTGTGAGTACCTGAGCAGCTGTGGGAAGCAAGGACAGAGGGCGGACCTACAGGGAAACAGCCCTGTGCTCCAGCCCTCCCACCAATTGGTCCTTTTCCACTCAGGCAGGGATGGACACCCACCCCTTACTACCTACAGGGCCTCAGTGTCACATGGGGGAGGGCGGGGCAGGTAGGTGTGTCCTCTTGGGAGCAGGACACTCAGTGTGGCCCCTGTGTACCCGCGCCTCTGGGGCGGTGCGGGGAGGGCTCCTCTGACACGAGCTGCTTCCTCAGGTAACTCTGGTGGAAGTCACATTCCGTGCTGCTGCAGTTCCTCTCTGATGTCTCCATAGCAACGTTCACAAGGATTTCATAGAACATAAGGTGTTTGAGCTGGAAGGGACCTCAGAGATCAGTTCCTCCCGCCCCCTCATTTCACAGAGAGGGGAGGAGGCCCAGACTGTGTATGCTACACGCCCGAGGTCAGTCAGCAAGCCAGGGACCCAGCCGGGGCCTCTGCCTTCTGGCACCACTCCCAGCCAGGGTCCCTTGTCCTCAGATCGCAGACAGCTGAATTCCTTAGGACTGTCTTCTTGGGAGGTGCTCTGAGGGCACAAGTTTTGGGGGCTCTGCCCTTCCCCCTTTGCTAAAGGACGCTGAAGCCCAGCCTCACTCTGCCCTGCTCAGTCCTGTAGCTCTCATTCCTGTGCTTGGTGAGGGCAGGAGTGGGCACGATGGGCACTGTACTCTGGAAGCTCACAGGCTGGCGTGGAGGCAGTGAAGTCCCCCAAGAACCACTGGAGAACAAACATGTTTCCGTATCTGCGGAGCAAGAGTTGGGGTGGGAGAAGCCCGGGAAGTTTGTCCAGAGGAGGAGGCTCCAAGCAGAGCCTGGGACAAAGGTCGAGGAGGACTCTCATTCCTGTCTAAGGCTGCCTGGCTTGAGGGCCACACCCTGTGACTGGGTGACTGGGAATGTGAGCGTGAAGCTTGAGGGCTTGGAAAATCGGGTTCCAGAGAGAGACTGCCCCAGGTCATAGGTTCCAGAGGGTTCTCGTGTCTGGGGACTCATGGCACACATCACTCTAGGACAAGTGGGTCAGACACATGGAAGGGCAAGTCAGAGGGCAGAGTGTAGGAGCTGAAGGCCCTGGACATGAGGGGACCAGGAATCTGGGCCAGCAGAGGGTGCTGGGATAAGGGTCCAGAAGTGAGTCCTGGAGTTGTTCCATCCCTTTGCTGGGACATGGAACCATGTAGCCCCTCCCCTGTCCAGCAGAGCCAGCCCTATACCGGAAGGGTTGAGGGCTTGTAAGTCTGTATCCCCCTCCCCAGGGACACAGACCTCACTCCTCACCTGTACCTCAGCCCCAGGGCTCACTTCAACTCCAAACCCTGCTTCAGGGACCTGGCCTGGCCTGTGGGAGGTCTTCTCTCTAGATTAGAAGATCCCGAGAATCTAGGCATTCCCAGATCCCGCCAAAGCTACCTTCCTGAACTTTCCCACCAAACTGGTCCCTTTTCTCCCCCTTGCTGGGTACCTGTTCTCCTTCTCTATGCCATGTGACAGACATTTCCAAATGCTCAGAGTCTGCAGTGTGGCCGGGACGCAGTGCTCGGTGGGGACAGCTCACCTTGGCTCTGCATGGAACCTGCCAGGGTGTCTTCTTCACTCACGTAGATGGCAAGTGGGGTCCTCTCCACCTGGGCTTCTCCATGAGGCCACCTTGGCTTTCTCACAGTATGGCAGCTGGGTTCCAAGAATAAGTGTTCCAGGAGACAGGAAGGGAGAGCTGCCAATCTGGAAGGTCTGGGTCCAGAAACAGGCACAGGGTCACTTCCATTGGTCAAAGTAATCACAGCTCCTGCCAGGGTAGGAGACATAGACCCTCCCCCTCACTGGGAAGAGTAGCAAAGAATTTGCCATCTTTAATCCATCTTAGCACCCTCTGTCTCTGCCCCAGGGGCTCTGACTCTTTCTTGCCTCCCCTCTGGGCCTGCAGATTCTGTCTCTCCTGGAGTTCTCCTCCATCCCCATTACTTCCCCATGGGCTACTGCAGTCCCCTCAAATTCATCTCCCTGTCCACAGGCTGCACCATCCATCCCCTCCTGGCCACTCCCTGTATTCCTATAGCAGTGCCCTCTCTCCATTGCTCTCCTCAGAAACCATGCATGGCTCCCTACTTCTCACTGAACAATTTCCAAGCTCCTAGGCAAAACATTCAAATTCACCTTACAATCTAGCCCCCTCCTATGTTACCTATTGAATTAGCACCCATTTCTTCCAAGCCACTGGACCACACTTTGGCCTCTTCTGCTCAGGCTCTCTGAGCCTGAACATATTCACTCTCTCCACCTGGCAAGTTTCTCTATCTCCACCGCTGTTGGACTCCTGCTCAATCTTCAAAGCCCAGTGCAAATGCCCCTCCTCTACAAAGCCTTGCTCTCACTACTCATCACACTAGTCTTACTCTCATTGTATGTTGAGGCATGTTCTCCCTTAAATCCTTATTGGTAATGATGTGTCCTCTTGAAGTGGGGCCCACATTTTTAATTCATACTTCTTTCACCAATTTAATAACTGTTTGTTGCAGCCTGGAGCCAGCTGCCAGGGATATGACAGTGAGCAAGACAAGCTGTTTCCTGTGCCCAGAGAGCTTACATTCCAGAGAGTGAGACAGATGGCAAATAGAGGAACCAAGAGACATAATGATCAAAGATTAGGAGGACTGTAGGAAGGCAAGAAAGGCAAGAAGCGGTGCTGCGAGGCAGGGACCAAGAATTCCCTCTTTTCAAGAGAAATGAGAGACCTGGATTTTTATATACTCTCCTAATTTTAAAGGTTGCAAGGTCAAGTCTTTCTCCTCTGCTCTCAGCTTCTCTCCCCTCCTAGCTTCCCACTCTCTCTGGAATGCCTGCCTCCTTCTCTCTTCCTGGTTACCCTATCAGCAGCCCACTCCCCAACTCAGGACGCCCCACCCCTAGGGCACCCAAACTCCTCTGTGGTTCCCATGCCCTGGCCATGCTCTGGCAGCAGCTGGCAGGAGGATGTAGGGAGCCCACTGCCTAGGATGCTAGGGCCAGTGGGCATCCCCTACCTGAGACCCTGGGCCAACCTCTCTGATGTTGGCCTCCTGGGAGTGAGACACCTGGAGTCCCCAGGGCCCCAGCAGTGGGAACCCAACACCCCCACTGCAGGCTTCACTAACCGCATCTGGCCTGGAAGAAGTGAGGAGCCAGAGGAGCGAGACAGAAAAGGACGCCAGGGGACTCTCAGAGGGCTTCCTCAGGTTGGTCCCCAGCTCTGACAGAGCCCTGAGGGATAGGTCTCTGTCTCCAGGGAACCTCTGGGCAAACCCTGCCGGGAACAGTTTATGCTCTCTGGAGCCAGAGTTCCCACGTAGAAATCTCGGCTCTGCCACTTCCTGCCTGGTGACCTTGGACATCTCCTTTCCCCTCTCTGGGCCTCAGTTTCCCATCTGAACACTGGGGATCAGAGCAGCACCCACCTCACAGGATAGTTCTAAAGATGACATGCACCTGGCACACGATGGCGCTCGGTGAAGGGCAGCTTTCCAAAGCCTCTCCCATGCAGGGCCCTGCCAGGCCCTTTCGAGGAATTGCTTTGTTGGGCGGCATCCTTCCATCTGTGTTTTCCCAGACCTCTGAGCCCTAGAGACAGCTTCTGCCCATTATAATTATTTGGACTCTGGGCACTGCCAGCTGAGAGGGCTCAGGCCTCTGAAGGGCCCAGGCTCCCAGTAACAGCTGTCATGTCTCAGGACAGAGGAGGACAGAGCAGGAGGGCTGCCCTTCTTCTGCACCTGCTGCCCCCAAGCCCTGGGAGAGGGGCATCTCTGCTCACCACTCCCAGGATTCCATGACCACCTCAGCCTCACTCTCAAAACCCAGAGCATCTTGGGTGGGTGGAAGTCCTGGGACAGAGCCCCAGGAAGTCCAGGAGGGGAGCAGGTGCCAGGTCCTGGAGAGGAGTCTGCCAGGGACCAGCATAGGGTTTGGATTATCAGCACTTGAAAGCACTGGAAAGCCAAGGAGACAGCCACAGCCTGGCAGAGGGGCCTCCCACCTCTTTCACCTCTCAGATCCCTGAGGGCAGAACCCCAGGGGAGGGGACTCTCAGAGGGCCTGCTGCTGGCTGTGACAGTGACTTCCCTTTCCCCAAGGATCCTGAAGCTTCAGCCCAGCAGGCAGAAGCTGCAGGGTAGAGCGCCCTGCCGGCTCAGCCCTGCCGCTCAGCCTGGCCGCTATGTCCTGTCTCTGATAACCAGCTGTCAGCTGAGCCCCGAGCGGCGGGCGCACCCGGGTTTGTTTGCCAAGCCCGAGTGTTGGAGCTTCCTGGACCCTCCTGCCCTGGAAGGGAGGGGGTCGGTGCCGCAGCAGGCTAGGTGGCATCTCCGGCGGAGAAGGGACAGAATCCCAGGGTGCCTATCCCACGCAGGTCCACTGCCTCAGTGCCCCCATCTCACGGCACTCTCCTTGTCCCAGGCCCGGAGGCAGTCCAGTGGGGGTCACTGGGCAAGGGGCAGAGCCGGGCGGGGTGGTGCACAGCCAGCAGAGGAACGACAGGACGCTGGGTACTCCCTCCCTCACCCACCGCCCCCAACCCGCACCCAGGGCCGATGCAGATATGGAAGGGCGTTGCTGGCTCTAGGGCAGGGAGGTAGCTGCCCCCAATGGACAGAGGCGCTCGGACCCCGAGCACCCAGGGCAGGGCCCGGACCTCCTGACCCCGCCCCCGGGGAGGCCATCTCATTTGCATGGCCCCGCCCGAGAGCGGCCATTGGTAGCGGCGGCGGGAGGCCGGGCCTGAGTGGCTGCGGGGCTGCGGGGCGGTGGGGGCGGCGGGGGCGGGGCAGCGCGGAGCTGGGCGCCGGGGAGGTAGTTGCAGACGCCGCGGGGACAGTTTCGGCTTAGGGTCTGGGTCTGGCTCCGAGGGCGCGGGGAGCAGGGTGTCCCGGGGCGCGGCGGCTGCAGCGGGAGCGTACTGAGCGCCCGCCAGCCCGCCTGCCATGTCCAGGAAAAAGACCCCCAAGAGCAAGGGGGGTAGCGCGCCCGCTACCTCCGCACTGCCCGCCACCCACGGGTCCCAGCCCGTGCGCCCCGGGACTGCGCGCCCTGGCCCCGAGGCACCTCCCAACAGGCCCCCGCAGCCCGGCCGGTCTTCGCTTGGCGGCGGCGGCGACTTCTACGACGTCGCCTTCAAGGTGAGCCGGGCACCCCCAGCCCCATGCGAGCGCAGCAGGTGGCGTCCGGTCGGAGCCGAGTGGGGAGGGTGCAGGGCCCTGCAGACCTTTGGCGAGGAGCTGGCTCGAGCGGCACCCCGCAGCTGCAGTTGGCATGGCTGGCGCGGTGCATCACACACACACACACACACACACACACACACACACAGCTGTCAAACCCGGGTTTGGGATACCCAATATATGACAGGGCCTGCCCCCTCCCCCTCCCCACCTAGCTGGCATGGCCGGACAAGGGGTCCTGCGGAAGTAAGAGCCTGGCAGGTGTCCTCTCCCTGTTCCCTTATGCTTCTGCCCCCACCCACGCCCATCATTTCCCACATGCTGCCTTCTCTCACCCCCAGGGTCTTTTGGTCTCTTCTCTTTAGGAGGCGAGACTAAGAAGAGGTTTGCCAGTTTGGTGGGGAATGCTGGGGCCTCCTTCAGGCCAAGGCAGAAGCTTGTGAATTGTGGGGGCGGGGGTGGCAGGCCCATCTTTAGGTTTTGGAGCCTTTGGCAACAGGCTGGGGGAGGGGAGGAGAGGGAGGCCTGACTGCCCCTCCCTGTCCACAGACGTGGTCTGAGCCTCTCCTCATGTCAAAATCTGACCTTCACTTGGCAAATTCCTCTAGAGCCTTGCTGGGATTGGAAGAAGCCCCCTGGCACAGAGGCCCCCCACCCAGGCCTCCCAGCGGTCAACCCTCAGGTTCTGCTCCCCACTAAGCCCCAAATGCTCCCCTTCCAGACCAAGCATGGTGTCCAGGTAGCAGCCCCTGGATGAAGGCAGCTACTCCCACTCCCCACTGATGGAGACAGGCCAATGTTCAGGAGAGGGGACAGAACCTTCTAGAGGTGGAAGATGGAAGTCCAGGCTCTGTGTCTCCCCCAGGCCCTGCTGAACCTGCAGACTTAGGATACCTCCCTCCACTCCTGACCCTCACCCACAGCCCATCTGACCAGGCCAGCTCAGAGAAGACCAGACACCCCTCCGGGTGGGCCAGCACCCAGGTCCCCTCTGCTCTTTCTTTGTGCCCCAGGTCATGCTGGTGGGAGACTCGGGCGTGGGGAAGACCTGTTTACTCGTGCGCTTTAAGGATGGCGCTTTCCTGGCAGGGACCTTCATCTCCACTGTGGGCATCGACTTCAGGGTAAGAGTGGAGGCTGATGTCCCGAGCACTGACTGGGCCCAGCCGATGCCCTGGGCCCCCAACACCAGCTAATAGCTGCTCGAAACACCCCTGGGCAGCTGGTTCTCCGGTTCTCCATTATCCCTGTGGCACCGACAGGCTCATGAGGTGGAGCTCCTGGCTGGACCACCTGGCTCCCACGGTCAAGGTGGTTGAGGTGAGATGCCTTAACCACCAAGCTGCCTGCCTCCCGACATCTCAAGGTCCTGGAGAGAGGTGTTGGCTGTATACAATCGAAGCAGAGATGGTACCCCTGTGCCTGGGGCTGGCACGACCCTGGGGGCTGTATCTTGTGCACTGGGGGCGGTGGATGCTGGTGTCCCCATGGAAACTCAAGACCCGTGTCCACTCAGGAGGCCAGCATCGCTGCCCCACTGTACAGAGGGGCCCTGAAGTGCCAGGTGGCCTGCCCAGGCCATACCAGACAGATGGCTGAGGCATTGAAGCACACACCCAGTCTCAGAACCAGGGAGAAGTCCCTGCCCTTGGGTGAGGAGGCTTATGGGAAATGCTCCCACCTGGATGCTTTCCCTGGTGGAGCCCCCTCACCACCTCACCCCCTGCTAGAGGGCTATGTCCTGGGGTCCTTCTGGGGTATGTCCCTCGACTCTTGGCTCCCCAAGTGCCCTCCAGCACCCCAAGCAGCCTGTGGGGTCACAGGGGAATGATGGGGGCCACAGCCTTAGGCATGCAGAGCTCAGGCATCAGTCTAAATTCCACGTGCTGAGGTGATGTGTTCTCAGCAAATCCCAAATTTGCATTTTTCTCACCCTTTCATTAGACCCAGTCAGCAGAAGGCTGGCAGGGAGGCTCCTTCTGGGGACTGGGAATGGGGGGCTCCGTCCAGTCTGGGGAGCCATTCTCTACCCTATCTGTGGGGGCAGAGCCCCTCAGGTCCTCTGGGATGAAGTAAGGGTTGAGGTGACAGAAGGGGGAGGTTTAGGCCCAGTCCTCTGCCTGTTCTGGCCTCACCTCCCCCCTTCTCACCTCCCTCTTGGCTCTAGGGCAGGTGGTGAGGCTGTGTGGTTCACACCCCTGTTCAGGGTGCCAGGGAAGGCGGGATGTCCTCCCCAGCCTCCCTGCAGTGGGACAGATGGATGCACCCAGTTCCCTGGAGACCCAGAAGCACCCTGACAGCAGGCGCTGGGTGAAGAGGGAGGTGGTGCTGTTTCCGCTGCCTGGGGCCTCAGCTGGTGGTTAGCAGCTCCTGTCCCCACCCCAGCAGATAGGAACCGGGGTTGAGCCACTCCCTGCCCTAGTCCTGAACTGGGAGGGCCTGGCTAGGGAGCATCATCAGCCAGCAAGCAAGCACATAATGAGCACCCACTGTGTACCAGGCCAAGTTCTGGGCTCTGTGCTTACTGCATGGGGCCCTATCCTCAGGCAGCTGCCGTCGGAGCAGGAAGAGAGGCTTTCAAATTACAACAAACACTTTAGCTCGTACCAGGCCAGACTCGTTTCTCAGTGCTTTGCATACAGTAGCTCATAAAGTAATCGGGGCAGCCAAGTGATGAGCACCCTGGCTACCCCCATTTGTGGATGGGGAAACTGAGGCACAGTGTTAGTAATGAGCCTGGGGTCACACGACTTCAAATTAAGTCATGCAAGTGGCTCTAAGCAAAAGGAGCAGTGTGTGCAGAGCTGTGAGAAGTGCTGGTGGCCTGGGAGAGGGGGCTGGAGCAGGGCCTTGAGACCTAGGAGCAGAGTACAGGGGGCAGGCGTGCAGTGTGAAGCTGAACCGGCAAGTAGGCTCAGGGAAGCCACCGGGGCTGGGCACCAGGCGGAGGAGGGCAGCTGCGGTAAAGGAGAGGGGAGGGGCTGGGTGCAGGACTCAGTGAGTGACTGGGGTGGGTGGCGACCGGGGGCCCTGCAGGGCAGGGGAGCTGGTGGGGCTGTGTGTCAGGCCTCCAGGAGGGGCAGAGGAAAAACCACCCGGCCCAGAATGGACACAGCTAGCCATGGAGGGCGGCAACCTTCCAGTCCATCAGGACAGCCAGCTAAGCGGGGGCGGCCTGAGCACCCTCTGTGCACAGGTCACCAGGAGGGGCTCAGCAGCAGGGGATGTAGGAGGTATGGGGGAGAGCTGGGTGGACACCAGGACTTGGATTCAAGGGGAAGCATTACCTGTAGGTAGAGGGCAGTGAGGTAGTCAAGAACCAGGTGGGCCCTGGAGGCAGAGCCAGCTGAGGCCAGGGATAATGAATTAGGGACACACCGGGGTCCCCTCAGTCCCAGGCTCAGTCCTGGCCTGGCACCGCCTGCCTCCCCCACCCTATCCACCCCCTTCCCCCCCATCCCCCACTGGAGGGTGGCACCGGTCTAGCTGCTGCCTAAGATGGTGCACTCGGCCCTGGGCCCTCCTTGGAGCTGGCTGGTTGTGTTTCAGAACAAAGTTCTGGATGTGGATGGCATGAAGGTGAAGCTGCAGGTGAGAGGTGACTGGGGGAGGGGGAATTGAGGGCAGGGGGCACCTGGGAAGGACTGGGCAGCCCTGACAGCTACACTATGCCCTTGCTGCAGATCTGGGACACGGCTGGCCAGGAAAGGTTCCGCAGTGTCACCCATGCCTACTACCGAGACGCTCATGGTGAGCTCATGGGCACCGTACCCTAGCTCCAGGGAGTCGGGGCCACACTCCCGAGGCTTCTGCTTGGAGTAGAGCACCCTGGGTGTGAGTGGGCAGAAGTGTGAAGGGTGCGATGCATGAGGGTGAGGGTGATGGGGAGCCGCTGTGGGCTCTGCAGGTATCCTCACTGGCCCTCTGCCCCCAGCACTGCTGCTGCTCTATGACGTCACCAACAAGGCCTCCTTCAACAGCATCCAGGTCAGTGGCTTCCTTCCTGGTGGTGGAGACAGGCCGAGATGGGGCCTGACCCCATCCCCAGCCTCCCTCAGGCACAGATGGCATCAGGATCCCAGAGAGTTGAGGTCCCTACTGACAGTGTGGAGAGGAAAAGACTGCCCCTCTGGGCTCCTAATGGCCTAAGTACAGTGGTTCAGGTTGAGAATGAGCTGAAGGGGGCTGGGGTGACCTTCTAGTCCACCAGCCCAACTCCTTAGATAAGGTACCTGTTGGATCGCCCCTGCACAGCACATGGGGAGCACTAGTTCAGGGGCCCTCCTGTTAGCCAGACACTGACAGGCACTCTGTGGGGTGTGTCCTGGAGGGGGGCAAGGGGTGCCAGGAGCTCCAGCCTCCAGCCTGTCCTCAGCTCTCCCCCCACAGGCCTGGCTGACAGAGATCCAGGAGTACGCCCAGCATGACGTGGTACTTATGCTGCTGGGGAACAAGGTGGGCACCCCAGCCTGTCTCATCTACCCTGGCTCTACAGAGGGTGGAGGGAGGTAGGGGAGTGAGCTGGGGCCAACTCTCACCAAGACTGCTGTGCCAGGTGGACTCTGCCCAGGAGCGTGTGGTGAAAAGGGAGGATGGGGAGAAGCTGGCCAAGGTGAGCTGTGGTTGGGTGGGCAGCCAGAGTGCCCCTGGGGCTGCAGGGCCTGAGCTGTCCCCACCAGGTTGCCAACGGCTGTTTGCAGGAGTACGGGCTGCCGTTCATGGAGACCAGCGCCAAGATGGGCCTCAATGTGGACTTGGCTTTCATGGCCATAGCAAAGTAAGTCCTGGCAGTTATCAGGAAGACCCCCAGACCCAGCGTCTGAATCCCCTTGTTGGGGGTACAGGCCACCCTATTCCATGGTCATCCCTGCCCCACAGGGAGTTGAAGCAGCGCTGCATGAAAGCTCCCAGTGAGCCTCGCTTTCAGCTGCACGACTATATCAAGAGGGAGGGCCGGGGGGCCTCCTGCTGCAAACCCTGAACCTGGCTGGGGATGGCCACCAGGGTGTTCTCCTGGAAGACTGGATAGAGTCTACACACCCCTGACTTCACCACCCAGCAGCCAGTCCCAGGGTATCTGTTTCTAGGAATCCCAGGCTGAGCCTTGCCCTTCCCTCGTCTGGGCAGCCACCCAGAGCCTCAGCCCCAACAAACAGGCTTCAGGAAGCCAGAGGGTCCGCAGCCCTCCTTCACCTGCTGCTGAGGGCTGTGCCCCCAAGGCCTTCACAGAAGAGCAACCAACTTCTTCACAGGAGGGCTACCCAACAACGTATAGACTGGCAGGCACCTGGTCCTCCGGACCACGGTGCCCGTGCCCTGTGTACAGTGCCTGAACACCTAGAAAGCCATGTCTGCAGCTGCACATCCTGCCCAGGCAGGATTCCTGCCCACACCTGGGGCAGAGGGCTTCACCACGAATCATATCAAGGACCAGAGCTGCCTGCTACCAGCCCACCCACCAGGAGGCCCTGGTTCAAACATCTACAGGGTCTTTCATGTTACCCTGGAGGATGCCAAGGCTGTGGCTTTGTAATGCAGTGAATAGCATGTGGGAAGCCACAGAAATGTCAGGCAAACCAGGACTGCCAGCCCTCGCCTGCTGACCAGGGCACCATCTCAGCAGGCTGATACAGGGCCTGGGCTTGGCAAGGTCAAGCCAGGGGGGTGGGCAGGGCACTCCACCTTGTACTAAAATCTTGAAGTGTTTTGATTGAGAGTTTTTGTTTCCAGTCCTAGTGAATAAAGTTGTGTTTTCTGGAGTGCCTACCTTGTCCATTGAAAAAAAGCAATGCTCAGGGACTGTTAGTGAGGAATTACAGGAATTCACCACCCACCCCAAGGCAAAGGCACAAAAGAAAACCTATCCTTACAGGTAAAAACAGAGAAGGCTGTCCAAATGGGTGGCAAGTCACTGGCGCGAACTTCCATTTTCATGCTCTGCCCCTAACCGAGACTGCCCAGAGATGACCCAGTCATCCCATGGAGTCCTCTGGGGTGCAAACAGGCATGAAAATAAAGACACGTGTGCTCCAATCAACTCACCACCTTTGCTTTATTGCTAAGCACTTCAGAGACTTATAGATGTCTTTGAGAACAGAATCCAACGAGACCAAGAATCCAGAAGAGACCAAGACTGTGAAACAGATGTGTTGGGCTGGAAAATCCCCTTGACCCACAAGAATGAGGAAACTGTAGTTACTTTGTCTTCCACCCAGTCAGGGCCCGAAGCTCCTGCTACTACCTTATCTTGAAGTGTCAGCAGGAGAAATGGTTGCAGCTGCTCAGCCACCTATCTCTTACCTCAAATCTCCCAAGAACTCTTTATTGGGAGGATGAGGGGCGGAGGTCTGTCTTCTGTAGCTTCTTCAGGCTGGCACTGGGCTCATGGACCCTACCTAATTGGGGCCACGGAACTCTTGCCCTGTTTTGTCCAGGGGCCCCAGGGTGACTTCTGCTATTCCAGTACGATCTATTCAGGGAATGGCTGGAATCCCTATATCACCATCATCTTGATGTGGAACTGTTGCAACCTGGAAGCAAACTTAACAAGCAGATTAAAAAGGCAGGGGCCAAAGTTCAGTAAAAGGATTATGGCAACTAGAGGTCCAAGCAGGGGGCAAGAACCAGGTCTCACTTGGTAACATCTCCTTAATTGCAGTCTAGGTCAGCGCTTGGGTTACCCTGTCTGAAGGAATTAAGCCATTTGGCGTGGTCACATTTTCTTGACGTCCTCTTCTACTAGCCCAGAGTTATTGATGTAGGTGCAACATGTCTTGATAACTGCACATACTCCTCCTTGTTTGGCTAGGAGGAAGTCTAAGGCCAGTCTATTAGCCATCACTTTACTAGCCAAGGAACTTAGAGACAATGAGAGTCTGGTGAGTGCATTCCCTGTGGATTCACTCAGGACAGGGCATCTGAAAGACTGTGGAGCACCACTTCACGATAAACAAAGCTTCCCCAAGGGGCCACCAAACCAATGGCAGCTCCATTTTCTGCCGAAAGGAGACCAATTGCCCTTTTGCCCCAGAGGTGGGTGATGTTATAGATGGCAATACCTGGGTTTGTTTGGTTACTCAGTTGGCCTAGTGTTACATTGTCCTGTAAACAGAGCACTGTCTATGCAAGGAAAGGCCACAGCTAATCCCAGAAAAGGGAAAGAGGAATTGGGGTTTTTTGAAAAGGACAGTCAGTTTGCACCTGGACCACAAAGGAATAGATGTCTGGGAGGGGCACATGCCTGACATACTGTTGTGGAATTAAACCACTTCAGTAGAGTCTGCCCAAGGGGGGGGTTCCAGTACAGTTGGAAGAAAGGATCCCACCACTGAATAAGGGTGTATGAGTCTTTTCGAAGGCTTTGGGAGAGGCAAAAAACATGTACTACACGCAGGGAAGATATGTGTTAGACGCTTGGCGCCAGGCCTGTCCAGGAGACACATCCCACCAGCCAGCTGATCTTGGAGGAACCAATGGGTGGCGTTAACTGTTTGATCTTCGCAATTAAAATTAGGGGTAATGGCGGTGATGTCAACTGCTGGTGCATTGCAGAATTTAGTCCAGGCTTCTGGCATGGGCAGCAAGATGAGTTACCTTCATGACAGAGTAGAAGACAAATATGCTTTGATGGGGGGAGCTTTGTGTGCTGGATACACTAACGAGAGGGGTCAGGTCCCGGCATGGAAGCTGTGCCAAGGGCTGGATGTGGACTGAGGGGAGCAGGGGTTGCAGGACCTTCAGCCAGAGTAAGTTCAAGGTCATCATTACTGGATGTGTAGCTTAGTTCTTTAAGCTTATAGGCGTCGCTTTGAGGATTGGGATGTTAGAACCCAGCACTGAGACAGATTCTCTCCCTGAACAATAATTCTTGAGATTTACTATTGCGTTGGATCCTCACTCCCCTGACATGAATCCCCAAAGGAGGAGGAGAAAAGTTGGGGTGACTAATAACTTCATAATGACATCAGAGTTCTAATTTAGGAAGCAACCAGAATGCAAGTAGTGTTGAAAGAAATCCTGCAGTAAACAAGAGCCCAGTAACAAATACGGGCTCCCAGCCTACCGTCACTTATCTTGCTTTTGTTACCCAGAGAGCCCGAAATAAATTAATGTCAAAGTGAGAGTTTACTTATCAATGTAGTTGTCACTGGCTTGGGGATCACCTTCTTGAAGAGGTATTTGAGGTCTTGGGCAGGTTCACAGGAATAGCTGGGATGTGGGTCTTCAGGTTCCTGTAACAGATCAGTGGAAACAGGTTTAATTCTGGGTAGATGAACCCAACTAGTGACTCCATTAAGTTTAATCACTGTAGGGGTGCTTACCAAAACTTGCTAAAAGACTGTTTTGCTTTGGGAGTAGCTGGTCACCAGGGGACTCATTTTTCCAGGTCTTTAAGAGCACCCAGTACCCAGGGTTTACACTGGAGTAACTGGGGCTGTTATCTGGGGAGAGCTGAACTGTTTCCATTCTTGAATAGCCCCCTTCCGACCTGGCCCAGGTTAATAATGTATTTAAGGTGTGCCTAGCTTTCTCAGCTGGTTACCATGTCCAGGGTGAGGAATAGCCTACCATGTCATTTCAAAGGGGCTCAACCTAGTTATTTTAGGGGCTGCCCCGCTGGCAGCAGGTGGCACCACCTGCTATTACCAGGTTCTGATATTTCCTGCTAAGAGCTTACCCAAGGTTTTTTTTAGGGTATGACTGGTCTGTTCCACCTTTCCTGAGGACTGAGGTCTGCAGGACAAATAAAGGTAGTATCTATTTCCTAGGGTCTTTTGGGTAACCTTTGCTATGAATTGAGGGTCCACTGTCAATCTGGAGGTGTCAGGGCAACCCAAACCTAGGGATAATTTCCTTCAGAAGTGCTCTAGCCACTTCAGTTGCCTTTTCTCTCCTAGTGGGAAAGGCCTCCACCCATCCAGTAAAACTACCCACAAAGACTAATATTTGAAGCCCTGGAAAGAGGCCTTCTGAGTGAAATCCATTTGGCAGTCCTCTCCTGGCTAAGGCCCACGTTGCTGGACTGGGCTAACAAAAGGGGGGCGGGGTTTGAGATGCCCTCCTTATTTATGGGTGGCACAGGGCACAGGCTCAAGTAACCCTTTAATATCTGGGAGTCATTTTCTTGTGAAAAGCCAGAAAACCACTGTACACAGTATCCTTCCCCAGATGGAGAAAAATCACGTAGCCCTTTGATTTTCCATTGGTCAGAAAAAGCAATTTTTGATGCATCACCAGCCTTCTGTTCCCTTAGTTCACCCTTTTTCTTGCGCCCAGGTTTCCTCAGTAGTACCTGGGCATGTTGTAAGGGGTAAGGGATGGGATTGTCATTTGTTGTATCAGGACTTTCTCTGCTTCTCCATCCGCCCTATTGTTCCCTTTGATAATTTGGGAGATTCCCTTTTGGTGTCCATGGCAGTGAATGACTGTTACTTGATTTGCTTGGTTTTTGAGCCGCCTCTGTGAGATCTCAGCCCCATACTTTACAGGGGAATATTTTGCATTCAAGTCCTCTTTCCATATAGCTCCATTGGCATGTAGAACGAGGTAGGCTTATTTAGAGTATGTTTACAATTTTTCCTTCCCCTAGGATTAAGGTTTGGGTTAGAGTTCGGCCTTCTGGGCTGCCATGGGCAGCAAAAGTTTTCACCTCTATGATGCTCTACCCTCCTGAGCCCGTCCTTAATGAACTGCCATCAGTAAACCATTCTTCCTCAGGATTGTCAATGTCTTGATCTGTCATATCAGGCCTATAGGGATAAACCTGGTCAAGGTAGGAATGTATTACCTTTGGGATTTCAGCAGGCATCAGTGTAGTTGGGTTGAGGGTGTAGCAAGTTAATTTTATTGACGTACAGTTGATTTACAATGTTGTTAGTTTCTGGTGTACAGCAAAGTGATTCACTTATATGTATATACTTTTCCATCTTTTCCGTTATGGTTTATTACAAGATACTGAATACAGTTTCTTGTGCTATACAGTACCCTGTTTATCTATCCTATATATTAGTTTGCATCTAACCCCAAACTCCTAGTCCTTCCCTCCCCCAAGCCACCACAAGTCTTTTCTCTGAGCCTGTTTTTCAGATGTTCCTTTGTATAGTTTGGATTCCACAAATAAATCATATGGTATGTCTAACTTACTCCGCTTAGTATTTCTAGGTCCATCCATGTTGCTGCAAATGGCATTATTTCATTCTTTTTAATGGCTGAGTAGTATTCCACTGTATATATCTACATCTTTATCCACTACTCTACTGGACATTTAGGTTGTTTCCACGTCTTGGCTGTTGCAAATAGTGCTGCAGTGAACACTGGGGTGCATGTATCTTTTCAAATTATAGTTTTGTCTGGGTATATGTCCAGGAGTGGGATTGCAGGATCCTATGGCAACTGTAGTTTTAGGAACCTCCATACTGTTTTCCATTGTGGCTGCACCAATTTACATTCCCACCAACAGTGTTAAGAGGGTTCCGTTTTTCTCAGTGTTGGGAGTTTTGAGGGTTACCTCTGGGGAGTCAAATAAACCCTGGTACTTAGTACAGTGGCCTCCAGTTAGCCAGTGGTGGCCTTTGATCTCTAGAAACCTTTGTACTTGATGTTGGGGGGCGGGGGTCTGGACTTCCAGTGGCCGTCCAAGGTAAGCTTGTTAGCTTCCTCCACTGATAAAGTGGTGGCAGCTGCTGGCCGAAAGCAGCCAGGCCAACCTCAGGGCACACTATCTAGTTGTGTGGAAAAATAGCCTATTGGCCGAGGAACTTCTAGTTTCTTTTAGGTCGCCCAGAGCTTTTAGGGGGTTAGGACTTCTTACAAAATGAATGGCTTTTTAAAACTGAGGAGACCCAGAGCAGGAGCTTTAATGAGGACCTGTTTGATGCTATTAAAAGCCTTTTCCTGTGTTCCTCAGCCCAAAGTAATGGTTCGGTATCTGGGCTTTTAATGGCTTCATACAGGAGCTTAGACATTAGCCCAAACCCTGGGATCAAGAGTCAGCAAAACCCTGCCTTTTTACCTTTGTAAAAAGGTACAAAGAAACGTCTTTGGGGCACTTAGGCCTAACATACTCGTTTTCTATCTTGCGACAGCTGTCTACTTCCAGGGTTTATAATGTGTCCCATGTATTTAACTTGTTGCATTGAGATTTGTGCCTTTTTCTGGGAGATCCTGTAACCCTGGACCTCAAGGAAATTAAGAACTTCAATGATGTTCTCACTTGAGTCTCCACGGTGCGGCTACATATTAATATATCATCTGCATGCTGTAGCATAGCCCCTTTTAGGCCTATTTCCCTTGGTTCCTTTCCCAGGGCCTGGGCAAACACTGTGAGCTGCCCCCAAACCCGTGGTAGGTAGTGTTGTCCAGGTGTATTGTTGCATCTGGCCCGAGTGGGGGTTAGTCCACTCGAAGGCAAACAAATATTGTGAGGGATGAACTGGGATGTAAAAGAAGGCATCCTTGAGGTTGAGCACAGTAAACCATTTAGCATTTACAAGGTCTTGGGCTAATATATTATAAGAATTGGCCACAAGGGGGAGTATAGGAACCACTGCCTCTTTTACTGCTGAGGTCTTGCACCACCCTATATCCCCCCATTAGGCTTAACTGACAAAATAGGAGTATTGCATTGAGACTGACAGGGAACCAAGAGGCTATGTTTTAAAAATTTATGTATGAGGGGTTGTAACCCCTTTTTTGCCTAACCTAATGGGGTACTAGTCTCTGGTTAGGGTAAGCAGCTTCTGGCTTAAGGCTAGTTTCTGCAGGTTGGGCATTTATAGCCCTCCCAGGGACTCCTTTGTCCAGTTTGCTGCAAGGTTCATTGCTTGTAGAATATCGCTGGGAACAAGCCCTTGCTCCTGTGTTGATCTGCCTTAGCCAGGGTTAAGATAAGGGGCTGCTCTGCTCGGGGCCTCCTAACAGTATCGCCTTGAGGGAGCCCAGAAGATCTCTCCCTAGTAGTGGGGTAGGATACTCAACTAAAAAGGCATGTTCAAAATGGCCAGTGAGAGCCCCAGAGAAGTGAAGGGTACGAGGCTTTCCATTGACACCAGTCACTGCAGTTTTTAGAGGAAAGAGGCCCAGCGTGAGAAATCAGGGCAGAGCAAGTAGCTTCTGTATCAATTTAAAAAATTGATCTTACCTGCCACCAGGGGCTCCTCAAAGGAGATAGACATCTCGTGGGGACGGGGGGAACCGCCAGAATCCCTGGGCTGCTTCAGTTATCCAGCATGGCCATCTCAGGAGCAGGAGCCCCCATTCCCCTTGGGGACCAAGGGCAGTCCCATCTCCAATGACTGGTCTGTTTGCAGACTGGGCAAGGCCCGGGAGCTTCTTCTGGTACTCATGGGCCCAATGGTCAGGTGACTTGCATTTGAAGCATCCCCCCTTGGTCTTGCCTCCGGACTGATGGTTGAACCGTCTTCCCCCTTTGGGTTGCCCTGAGGTTGCAAGGCACGGCTGACAGCAACAGCTATCAGTTTAGCGTGAGCCTCGGCGTGCCTTTTTCCATGTTGAGTTCTATCCTCTTCCTCAGTTTGATCTCCATTATAAAAAATCCAAAGGCCACCTCTAGGAGTTTGTGGGCCTAACTAACTTTTGGAGTTTTTGCCTAATATCAGGGGCAGCAGGGACTGAACCCTGGGAGCAGAAAGATCTGTTAGCAAATTTTCTAAAAAGCCTCCACAAGCTGTCCCTGAAAGAGAACAGGGCTTTCTTCTTCCTCTTGGGTCACTTCCTTGACCTTTTCATAATTGACTGGCTTCCAAATGCACTTTCTCGTTCCTTCTAATAGGCACTGGACCTCGTGATTCCTGGCCTTCCCCCCCCCCAGGCAATTATAATCCCAAATGGGCTTATGATTTGGGACATAAATGTTGGGCTGGTCCCTGGCAAACTGGTCGGCGTACACCTGTGCTGCTGCCCATATCCTCTGCTTCTCCTCATGGGTACAGCAGGTAGGTAAGATCACTTGGACGTCCTTCCAAGTTAAATCAAGGGCCAGGGTTAGGGCCTGAAATCCCCCGTGAACCTACTAGGGTCTTCAGAAAATTGGCCCAGTCTTTGTTTGCATTGGGCTAAATCGGTTAAGAAGAAGGGCGCATGTACTCTTGATTGTGCATTTGCCATATGCCACTTCCCTAAGTGGGCGTATTTTCCCTGGTCCTGGGCGATAGGAAGTTCCACTATGGCTTACTCCAGCAGGACCAGCACTTTCAACGTGGGGTATCGTTGGGTACAGAAGAGCATAGGGAAGAAGGGTTTGGGATTGGCCAAGGGAATCCGGAGAAGTACAGGTACTTGTAGAGTAGAAAAGGCTCTGTTTCCCCCTTAAGAGTTGGAATGTAGCTAAGATAAGACTGTCTAGAAAAACGGGAGGGTTCTCTGATTCCCCACGTCTCGTGATTACAGGAGCTGCACAGAGTGGGATTACTGGAGTTGGGCACACTGGAAGGTGGCACGAGGGCAAAGGAGTGTCGGTAGATGGCGAGATAGGAGACTAAGCAACAGAAGAGTCCAAAGTCATTCACCCTGCTTTCTTGGTAACAAAAATAAAACCTGAAGAGTCCTGTGAATTCTACCCGACACAGCACTGGATTTCGCAATGTTGCGGGAGCAGTTTAGGAATGAGGTTCAAGAAATCCTTTCCCCAAATGGTGCAAAATCCCAGCTTCCCGCCAAAGAGGGACGCCTTAAAAAAGAAGAAAGGCAGAGAGAGGGAGAAGTCAGAGGTCTCCACGCGCAGCTGGGCAAGGCCCATGATCTACCTTGAATCCAGGGATCCGAGTCAGGGCACCAAGGCCCCTAGACTGATGCTGATTTACCTCAAGGTCTCCAGCCGGATCACCGACAGTCCTGGAAGTCAGAAACCGCCCAAATGCAGACAGATGCCCAATCCTGCCATTTCCGGCAAGACCTGTTTTCACCCCCCAGGCCCTTCCATCAAGAAGGCGCACCCTAAAGCCTCAGTCTTGCAAAATAATCAGACTGCGCGTGCAGTTTTCATGCGAGGTGTCAGAAATTAAAGCAATTCATCACAGGCTCGGAACTGAATTTGGGAAACCAGGCCCAGCCCAGCCTTACCTATACAGGGAAACAGATCTGGAGATTGCGACTTCCCGACGGAACTGGGGGCAGAAACGTGTAGAATGCTGAGGACCAAGATGGGTTTCAGGCGGAGGCTGGACCCGGGGTCTAGGTTGGCAGGTTTGGGCCACTTCCCCAACCCGCTCTGGGCCCGGTTCCTCCCTTGACCGTGACGTACGGAAAAACAAGAAACAAACCTTACGACCTCGTACTTGATTCGGAAAGAACGCAGAAGCCTGGGGCTCAAGCTCTTATAGAAACTGCTCCACCTCTGCGATTGGGCAATCCCAGCGGAAGTATCTTCCCTCTTCACCGCTGATACGCTCCTTTCTCTACTCTCCAAGTCTCCACCAATCGAGCCTTGACATTTCTTTTGGGGGCGGTCTCCCTGACCCGACACCCGAAGCTCCACCCTTTTGCAGAGGCCATTGAACTTAACTGTGAGCGACGGATATATATAGCCAATCAGAGTCCGATCTGCAACATAGAGTGATTCTGAAGCCACCAATCCCGCCCCGCAACATCTGAGCCGCCGGAAGTCGTAGTTTCTGAAGAGCCTCGAGTAAGGCGGCCGCCTGGGGCCCCGAGAGCCAGGGAACTGCAAATCCCGGCGGGCACAGCGCCTGAGCGCTTCCGTCTCGAACGTCCTGTCCCTTTCCCGGCCAGCGGTAGAGGGGGCACGATGAAGCGGGAGGGTGGCGCTGCGATTCCCGAGCGGCCACGGGCGGGTGAGTGTCCTAGCGGCGTGCCGGGCCTGGGGCTCGCGCCTTGGGCCCGCGCGGTGGGGCGGAGGGCCGGCGTGTTGGTGTCTGGGGAATGGGTCGGGCCTGGGGGGCGGGGCTGAGACGCTCCGGGGTCTCCCCGGTCAGTCCGTCTGTCTGTCAGCTGGTCCGTCACTCATTCCCTTTCTCCATTCTCTCCTTTATTCATTCCTTCTTCCTGCGTTTACTGATCGCCGCCGGGTGCCCAGCACTGTGGTAGGCGCGGGGAGACTGCGGAGAGCATGATCCCAGTTCTCCTAGGCTCTTCTCGTTCAGGGTTTGTCACAACCTCGCCACTCTTGATACTTCGTGCCCATCATTCCCTGCTGTGCCTTGTAGGGTGTTGAGCAGTATCCCTGGTGTCCACCCACTGGATACCAGTAACCTCCCCCACCCCCGAGGTGACAACCAAAGATGTCTCCAGACATTTCCAAGCATACCCGCTTTGAGAACGGGTGATCTAGAGAGAGGTGCGGGATTGACAATGCACAGACACAGTCATGAGGATTTGTGATAGGTGCCATGAAAAAAAGAAGCAAGGTGTTAAGAAAGAGAGTACCAGGGGCTCCTGAATGGCTTGGGGAGGGGGCACCTACAGTGAGCATCCCGTCCTGGAAAGTTGCTGGAAGAGCTTTTTGGGCAGAGGTAGCAAGATGTGCAAAGGCCCAGGGTGAGGAAGCTCAGCGGACACCCGCGGGTACTGGCAACGTCATGAGAGGTGAATTGGTGAAGACACACCAGAGTGCAGGATGGGGATTGTATTGTGCTTACAAGGGAGGCTGTTGGAGGACTCAAGCACAGGAGAGAGGGCATCAGGTCTAAGTCTAATAAAGAGCCTCTGGTTGTGAGTGGAGGATGGACTGCTAGCTTCAGTGGGGAAGTAGGAGAGAGTGAGGAGGCTGGCTTGTGTGCAGAGGAGAGTGGGTTGGGGCCCTCCTCTCCTAGTTCTCACTGGGTCTGGCTGCCCGGGCCTGGTTGTCTTGAGCCAGGTCAGGGTGGTCAGCTGCGGATGAGTCTGGGGTCCTGCTGGATGGCACCCTGCTCTAGTGGGGAGGGGTTCCACCCTACTTTGCTGTGTCCCTTGCTTAGAGCTCTATGCTGCCCAGCCTGTCAGCACACCCTTCTCCCATCCCTCAGACCCCTCCCCCACAACAGGCCCCCTCTCCTGGGACCTGCCCACCCCCTGGCCTTTGCCAACTATGTGGCCTCTCTCTTCCTCATTCCTTTTCTTGGGCCTCTCCCTTCCCACACCCCTTCCCCTCTCCGTCATAAATTCCCACTTTTCACTGCTCTGCGGATTCAAGTTTCTCCATGGAAACCCCAGGCCCTGTGTCTCAAGGTGCCTGCATCCTATAGCAGTACTATCTCCAGGAAGCCAGAACCTCCCTCGGGGGAAGAGCAGGGAAAAGGGCAGTCTGGCTGAAAGAGACAGGCTGGGAAGGAGCGTAAGGCCTGGCCTGCAGTGGATGTGAACCTTAGCCAGTTGGCTGGACAAAGGAATGGACAGTTTGGGAAATGGAAGAAGATGCAGTTGAAGGGCCTGAGCCACTTGGGAGGCTTCGGCAGCCCCGACACAGTGATTTGGCCGCTAGCTGGCATGGCTTGGGCAGGGGCTGGCTTACATGCAAGGTGGAGCTCCTCAGCTTGCCTGCGGCAACAGAGGAAGCAGAAGGAACAGGGCTTTGGTCAGCCTTGGTCATGACCCCTCGCTGGCTGTCTGTGCCTGGGGTGGCCTCTCAGCTTCCATTTTCAGTTTTCAAGGAGGAGCTGATGTCAGTGGAGCCTTCACTGTTAACTCACATGGCATCTCGCACAGTTCCTTCCAGACTTGGGTACATCCACTCCATTTAATAGGTGAGAAATCCGAGGACCTGGCAGGCAAGTAACTTGCCCAGAGTCGCACACCTGTTAAGTGGCAGAAGCAGAATTTGAACTCAGGTCTGAGTCTGGCACTTGTGGGTGGGCACCTAGGACTTCAGACCTCTGGCTCAGACCCATGAAGATGGACCCACCAACCCCTCTCAACAGATGCCTTCAGTGTCCGCTGTGCACTGGCTGTGGGGCAGAAGAGGTATGGATGCTCCCCAGAGGAGCGTGGAGTCAGGTGGGGCAGGCGAAGCAGGAGGTGGGCATTGGGGTGGTGCTGACGTCACTGTGCATACCTGGCCCTTGGCCGCCCTAAGCAGGAGGAGGCGGGCTGTCTGGAAGCCTTTTGGAGGGGTGAACAATCCCAAGAGCACCTAGGGAGGGCACCCGGCGGGGAAGGAGCAGCCCAGCAGACACCAGGACTGGAGGAATGTGCCAGAGGGCTGGATGGTGAGGGCTAGACAGAGGAGTGGGCTGGGCCAGACCTCTGCCCTCCACGCTCCCGGTCACCTCCAGACCCAGATCTGGCCCAGGGACTGCGTGCCCTTCCTGACTTCTACAGGGGAGCAAGAAGGAGGAAGCCCAGGAGACAGAAGCCACGCAGGGAGTGATGAGAAAACGGCCAAGGGAGCCTGGAGGTGCAGACTGGGCCCAGGCACTGCTGGCCACTTGGCTCTTGGGTGAAGGCCCAGGGCCTGTTTCCATGAGTTTAGACCCACTAATTTAGGGACATGCTTCCCAGTTCCGCCCCTGCAGTCGAAGCTAGGCTGGGCACTGAAGTGGAGGGAAGGTGTGGACAGGAAAAAGTGGCCCTGCAGCCGGACACTGAGATAGGGGGATGAATGCCACCTCTTCCCAGAACATTCTCTCCCTGCTCTGGATCTGGCCAACTCCTTCCTCCAGGAAGCCCTCTGCATGTCCCCCAGGCTGGGCCAGGTTCCCACCTCATACATGGCCATCAGATGTGGGAGATAAAGGATGGGGAGATGAGGCTGGCCCCAAGGGCACTGGGGAAGGGAAGGCATTCCCATTGCCAAGTGGGGGTTAAGGCCAGGCCACAGAGCAGGAGAGACTCCCTCCCTCTAGCACAGGGGCCCGGGGAGGCTGGAGAGGCTGGACCTGGACAGGAAAGGCCAGGAGCCTGGGTGGAGGGTGCAAGGGGGCAGAGCCCTTGGGAGGGGAGGTCACAGCAGGTGTCTAGGCAGGCAGCTTTGAAACCTCTGGGGAGTCCAGGCTGTGAATACCGAGGGAAGGATGGCAAGGTGAGGGCAAAGGTCTGGGCTGAGTGCTGGGAGGGAAGGGAGGCCGGGCAGACCTCAGATCAGGGCCTGCTGAGGGGGTTCCCAACATCACACCCTTCCTGTTTGGGATGGAAAAGGCATATGAAGGGGACTCCAGGAAACAGCCAGGGGAAGTGTGTGTGGCTTTGCTATGGCAACCGGGCCTGTGTCTATTGGATTTGGCAACCTGGCCTGGGCTTGGGCCTGGGGACCTGGGGGACCAGGGAAGGGCTTACTGGGGGGCTGTGCAGTCTGCAGGTGATGCCAGGGGCTGCACCTGGAGCTCCGGCCACAGTCCAGCCAGCTGGCCACCCACGGCTCCGTGGCAGGAAGGGCCGAGGATTCCCGAGCCACCCACGCTCCTCCCTGGGGCAGTCGGTGCCAAACGTGTGGCCTGACGACATTTATAGGGCAGTCCACCCCCTCGCTGGCTCAGCATGTGCTGTTCAGGGAACCCCACCACATCTGCTGCCTAGGGCTATCAGAGGAGCTGCCTTGAGGTGGGGCTCGGCCTCGTCTGGCCACCCCACTGCCCCCAGCTCTGGCATGGCCAGCCTAGGCCACCGCTCCACTGGCTGCCAGCCACGGGACCATGCCTAACCCACACCCACTCTGGGTACTTACTAAGGGAAAGGGGGGTCATGTCCCACAGTCCTGAGGGTGAGGCCCCAGAAAATCCCTTTGGGCTCCCTCCAGGGGACAGGCTGAGGAGGGGCCCCGATAGAGCTGGCCTGCCCTCCTGCGCAGGCTGCTCAGAGAAGGGGGCTGGTGAGGGGCTTTCCTGAAGAGGGGCTGTGGTGGAGAAGTGCAGGGGCTGGGGCATTCTGGGCAGATCGCTGGTTCCTCATTGGGTGGTGAGTGCACCGCAGACCCCAGGAGCCCCTTAGACATGGATGTGGGTGGACAAAGACCCCTGGGTCTTGACCCCTGGCTCAGGCGAGGCAGGGGACGGGCTGCTCCTGCACGGACTCTAAGCATCCGTTGGTCCCACTCTCCCATCAGCCTTATCCAAGGTGGACAGCCCCATTTCCATCAGGACCTGGGGGCTTTTCTCTTTCTGGGATAGAATCCCTGAGTCCCTCCCCTGGGCTCTGCTGAGGCACCTGGGAACAGGTGTGGGGACTTGGCAGGGAGTGGGGAAGGACTGAGGGGAAGCCCTTTCTCGCCCTCCCCAACCCCAGGTCTCCCTAGTTGGCCCATCCCACACGGCTTTTCCCAGTTTGAGAGAGGCCAGGCTCTGGGTTGGCTGAGGATTCTTGCTCTAGTTGACAACTTCCTGCCTGCCTAAGAGCCTCAGGCTGACTGTGGGGTGGGGAAGAGGCCTCCTTCTCTGGGGGGCCAGGGCACACCCCCAGGACGGCTGGGCCCAGCCTCCCTGTAGCCCCAACCAGGGGAGTGCTCCGTGTGCTGTTGTGTTTCTGGGGTTTTGGCCTCCAGAGCCAAAGGATACTGGGGAAGACTATTATTGCGAAATGCAGCCCCCAGGGACCGGCCTGAGGGCAGGCTGAGGGCATCTTGCTCAATTCTGAGATGCTCTGGATGCAATCTCTGGTTCTGGTTCCGGGTGGGCGGGGCGAGCAGGGTCTTCCCCCCACCCCCCCTGTCCAGGGCTGGGGCTGCACACTGAACCCTGTGAACCGGGAAATGGTTCCCTCCCTCCTTCCCTCACTCAGCTTGGTTCACTGGCCGGTCTTGTACATCCGCTACCGGGCCTGACCGCTATTGGCTGTCTGCGGACTTTCCGGCCTGATTTGCATGTTGCCCTGCGGGCCCTGCGTGCCTTTCTGTTTACTTCACTTCAGAGTGCAGGACAGCCAGACGCCAGCTCTCCCAGGCTGCAGCAACAGGCACTTGGGCACCCGGCACCGAAGGGGGCCAGGCAGCGGGCTGGCTGAGGTCCTGGGGGAGCGCCTGCTGTGGTCCTGGCCACCCGGACCGTGGGTGCTGCTTGCTGGAGCCAGCAGCTGGCTTCTTGGCCCTGGGAGCTTGCACTGGAAGGAGCAGATGGATTGTAAAATCCAGGTCAGTGTCAGCCAGTGGCCTCCCTGTGACACCCCCCACTTCCGCCCCCGTGGTGCTAAGGCTGGAGCCAACCCTGGGTTTCCCCAAAGGATGGAGCTTTTCATGCTGATGTGAGGAATCTTGGAGCTCCTACTCTCCACTGTCTGGGCCTCACTGCAGCTAGAGTGTCCTTACCCCAAGCAGGGCGGCCTCCAAGACTTCCTGCTTAGCGTGCAGACTCGCAGCGGGGCTGGAGGTGGGCTTCGGGACAAGCCCCTTTCACCCCTCTGCCTGAGGGCCTGGCGCTGCCCACTCTCAGGAGCCCCCGTCTCTCCCCTGAGAGGACAAGCCACCAGAGAGCCTGGGCTGGGGCAGGCAGCCAAGCCCCTCGAGTCACACCAGGGAGAGTGGTGGGCAGGACAGGGGGGCTTTGGCCAAGCTCTCAGGACCCCCTATATAGCCAGACCCACAGGGGCTCAGAGCCCTGCGGGGGAGGTGCCTCATGGCAGTGCCAATTGCAGGGGCCAAGAGCCACCCTGTCAATGCCTGAGTCTCAAAGTTTGGGGGGGTGGCGTGCAGGTGGCATTTGAAGGGGTGGGCAGCTTGGGAGCACAGTGCAGAGGGCCGGGTATGCTTGAGAGCCCACCCCCTCCCTGCAGACCTGCAGGCCGGGTTGGGGGACCATTGGGTGGGCCCCAGGTCACACTGCTTGGCCGTGGGGGGGTGGGGCGTGGACATCGCTACATGGTCCAGGTCAGGAGGACCTGGTGTGGAAGGTGCCAGAACCAGCTGGACTGTACAGTTGCTCTCTGCTGGACTCACAGTAGGGGGCAGAGAGCATCTCCCGCCTTCTCCCACAGTGTGGGGGGCTTAGCAGCCCTTTCCCCCTGGAGCCTCACAGTCCTGCAGGACTCCAGACCACAGAGTGGGCCCCTGCCTGCCACGCGGCCCCAGGAGCAAGATGAGCCTGACCTCCTAGAGCAGTTCCTGATGCTGGTCTGATGGCTGGGCCGGGCACCAGGCAATGAGCCCACAGTCCCGGGGATGCTGCTGGGGGTCTCCTGAGGTGGAGAGCTCAAGTGGGCCTGTTGACAGCAGTCCTGAGCGTCTGGCCTTCCTCCCCGTGGGGAGCTTGGCTTCAAGCCGGCGGTCTCGTGGCTCTCAACACAGCCGACTGCTGCAGGGGGAGACTGTGCTCCTGGCTACAGACTGTTGAGGGTCCTAACATGGGGAAGACCGCTCCCAGGGGGTGCCTGCTGATAGGGCCACCACAGGGTGGGCACTGTCTCGGGAATGGAGCAGCTCTCCCTGGGGTCCCGTCCTAGTGTGAGCTGCTGACTGGGTCTCCTTTTCTTTCTAATCTCTTCCTACTCTGTGGGTACACCTGGGCCTGGCCAGCTCTCTCAGGGCCCATCTAGCCCCTCTCTTCTTGGATGGGAGTCACCAGAGACCTGGGATGATTCCCACTGTGCCTTCTCCCTGCCACCCCATCCCTTGAGACTGGGTCACACTGGGGCACCCTTTGTTCCTGGAGTGGGTGACCTGTACAAGGTCAAGAGTCGGAGTTCTTCGCTCCTCCCCCACCCGAAGGGGCTTTCTGCATGTGATGAGGCTGGTGAGGGGCTGGGCTCCAAGTACGTCACCCACAGGTTCTCTGCGGGCACAGCCAGCATCCCCGACATCCTGCAGACCAGGTGGCTTCGGCCTGACCACACCTGCCCTGGCAGGAAACAGGCCTGTGGCTTTGTCCTGCTGTGTATACCCAGCCTTGGCCCCAGGGACATTCAGACCTCGGACCCAGAGGAGCAGACAGAGCAGGGGTGAGGGGCTCTCCAGCTCTGGGGTGGAGCTGGTGGGCTTTTCCAAAGGGTTAAGCCTTAAAGCAAGGTAGAACTGAGTGTCAGCTGCCTGCTTGAACCCAGGGTCTCCTCCTTTTCTCTGGCCTGTGCACACCTGGGACGGGAGGGAGGGGAAGGGACTTTGCCCGCATGGACCTGCCCTTGTTGGGATTGGTGGTGGAGAGAGACTGAAGCGTGCCTTGTGGTGGACTGGCCAGAGGGGGCCTGCCTGTGTGGAGCGGCCCCACCAACCGACAGGGGCTTGGCCACCATCTCCAAAGCCCTTCATTTGTGCTCCACCCATAGGGGATGCTGCCCGAGGACCTTAGATGCCTCTCTAGAGCATGAGCTCGGGCAAGAGCGCCCGCTACAACCGCTTCTCCGGGGGGCCTAGCAACCTTCCTACCCCAGACGCCGCCACCGGGGTAAGGGGGACACCCTCGGGGAATGGTCTGCCTCTGTGCACACCCCACATACCCAGGGCCCCAGAAGAGCTACCAGAGCAGTCCTCTCCCTACCTGGAGGTCCCTCGGGTGAGCCATGCCGTGTGTGTGGTTGGCACGTCTGAGTATATGCACGCATGTGGACTCGTTAGTGAGAAAGCATGTCAGCTCATGTCCACGTGTGTGTCCACATCCTCGCTGGGGTCAAGGCCAAGTCTCCTCTGTTCTCTCTCCAGACCAGAATGGAAACGACCTTCGGGCCCGCCTTTTCGGCTGTCACCACCATCACAAAAGGTGAGCCTGTGAGCCCAGGCCAACCTGGGCTGGGCAGGAGTCCCCCATCCTGCTCCCTCCTGTTCCACTGCCACATCCTCCTCCCACAACCCCACATCCTCCTACACCTGCCTCCCGGGGCCTCGCCTGCCACCTCTCTGGGGTGGGCCGCCCGACTTCTCCGGCACCACTTTGCACACCTGTCCTTTATCAAGCGACCCCTGACTCGTCCCACACAGGCTTCTAGCAGGCCCTGAAAGGTCAGGACTGGGGACCAGGCTGGGCATGGGGAGGTGATAAGAAGTACTCACGGGGTCCTTTCCCGAGTCTGGTCCCATGGTTGAGCCCGCAGCACTGTGTGTTCTGGGAGGTGGTGAGGAACTAGACCACGAGGGCACAGCCTCGTTCCCGAAGACATGAGGGCATGGGGCCCCTCCTGTCAGGACCGGTGCTTCTGGGGAGCAGTGTGTGTTCTTTTGCCTTTTCAGGACTGCCCTTCGTAGGAGAACACCAGCTGCTAATTAGTTTTTTAATTGCTTTTCCACGGTATCTTCTGGATACACTTTTCAGTGGGGTCACCAGGCCGCCATGGACATCTGCTCACACAGGCTCCTTTTTACCACTGGGTGACCCCCTCAGGGGCTGTGCAAGAGCCCTCCTTTATTCTTAGATGTTCTTTTCTGAGGAAAAAACAAATATACATACCCCTTAATCGCATCACCCGAGTAATTGCTCTTTAATTTCTTATCCAGCTTTAGAAACCATGTAGCACCCTGTCGTGGCAGTCAAAAGCTCCTGGGCAGAGAATAACGGGGGCCTGTCTCGCCCGTGGCCAACCCAGCGACTCCCTCAGTATCAGGGATGGTCAGAGCCAGTGACCAGGCACGAACAGTTGCCTCGCCCAGCCCCTCTCATTACAGACAGAGAAACTGAGGCCCAGTCACAGGGCAGCCATTTGAAGCCTGGATCATGAACCAGGCCTTTGGGGCTGGTTGTTGTGACATCTGGCCCTGGCTGGGGCCTGAGACCAGTGTTGGCCACTGTAGGCCTCTGGCTGCTGCCTTCAGGGCCTGTGAGGCTGGCTCCTATTCCCACGTGGACCCCTGACCAGTGCCTTCTCTGGGCAGCTGGGGTGACGTGCAGGAGGAGGAGGACCATGCCTTCAGCAGCCTTCCCTGTAGGAGGCCAAGAGGGCCTGTGGCCGGTTCCTGATTCTGGCCGCACCAGGGGAAGAGGTGGGCGGAGAGGGGACCTAGACCACCAGGCTGCCATCCTGGCCCCACCACGTACCAGCTGAGGGGCCTCGGACCTCTCTGCCTGTGGGTGGCAGGGCTGGGGCTGGGAGCTTCTGGACTCAGCTCTGGGACTGTCCAGGGCAGGCTGAGCCCTGCAGGTGAGCTGCAGGCACTGGTTAGACCTGGGGAGGCAACCACAACCCCCAGCCCAGCCTCCGCCCCTGCCTGGCCCATCTGCGAAGGAGCCCACTGCCTGCCACGGTGGTCAGGCCTCCCCGCACGGCCCCGCTCGCGGCATCTCAGCCCTGTTTTCTTCGCAGCTGATGGGACCAGCACATACAAACAGCACCGCAGGACGCCCTCTTCCTCCAGCTCCCTCGCCTACTCCCCACGGGACGAGGAGGACAGCATGGTAGGTCTGCACCTCGCTCCCCCCTCCCCACCCCTCCAGAGCCTGCCTCCCACCATGCCCTCCCTCCAGGCGCCCAGGGCCCAGGAGGAGCTGAAGGTGGAGCCTCAGCCGCGAGCTCAGGTCTGAGGGTGAAGCGAGCTGGTGTCAGAGGCCCAGCATGTGCGACACCCTGAGGCCTGAGCACCCATGGCTGGGTTTCCAGAGAGAGGCGCTGGTGAAGGTGGCTGAGCCAGAGGGTGTGGCGCCTGCAGGCTGAGAGGAGGCAAGTTTGGCTCTATCTTGTGGGAGTGGGAGCCACAGAAGGTTCATTCGGGAGGGTAACTAGATCAGATCCCCTTTTAAAAAATATTTATTTATTTATTTTGGCTGCATTGGGTCTTCGTTGCTGCACATGGGCTTTAGTTGCAGCAAGGGGGGGCTACTCGTCTTTGCAGTGCGCAGGCTTCTCATTGCGGTGGCTTCTCTTGTTGCGGAGCACGGGCTCTAGGGTGTGCAGGCTTCAGTAGTTGTGGCTCACAGGCTCTAGAGTACAGGCTCAGTAGTTGTGGCGCACAGGCTTAGTTGCTCCACGGCATGTGGGATCTTCCTGGACCAGGGCTCGAACCTGCGTCCCCTGCATTGGCAGGCAGATTCTTAACCACTGCACCACCAGGGAAAAAAACCCATTTTTAAAGCTTCATCTGTTGTTGAGCAGAGGATGAATGGGTAGGTTGCCGGGTAGAGGCAGAGGCCCCGAGTTTGGGGTTCTTGACGAGGGAGACGGGGTTCAGCAGGTGGGGAAAGATGGATAGGCCCAGGCTGGGGTCAGTGAGGAAGGGCTTTGGGTCAGAGTTGGAGCTGGCTGTCGGTACCCAGGCCGTGTGGCCAGGGTCACAGTGGCCATTCCCTGTTTGTCGGTCCTCGCCCGGCTCTGGGACTGCTGCGGGAAGCGAAGGCTGGCCTGGCTGGTGGGGGTGGGATGCGAGCAACCTCTCACTGCCACTCACCTCTCCTGTGCCTGCTTTCTGCTTTCCCTCAGAGCCCCCGACAGACCCCGGTCAGTGCTCCAGCCCTTCTAGCCTCCCAGCACCGAAGGCTTCTCCTCATGCTGGGCAGCCAGGCCTTTGTTTCCTATTTAATAGAGAGAAAAAAAGTATTTTTAATTATTCAAACAAACACGTTTGTGTGCCCAGCACTGCACTAGGCCCTCCCTAAACACGAGCTCCCCCTTCCCTTGGGCTCTGCCTGCCTCGGTCTCCGGGACCTGTGACCTGCCCATGGAGTGAGGCTGGGAACAGAAGGCTCGCCTGCCCAGCTGGGCCTTGAAGGAAGTGAATTCCCCGTGCCTGTGGTTTCTGGAATCCTTGGGTTTTGGTGGCTCTAAGGAGGTAGGCGTGTGCTGTGAGGGCCCTGAGCCGTGGCCACCTGGGCACCATCTCTGTTGGATGTTCGGCCCCCACAGGCTGCCCCCTCTGCTTGCCCTGGGGAGCCAGGCCTTCCCCCAGGCTCTGTACCTTAGGGCCAGCTACCCTGCCCCCAGCCCAGGCCTGGCAGCCACAGCCTCTTCACTCAGGAGGAGTGGGAGCCCAGCAAGGGGCAGGCAGGCAGGGGGGCAGGGGGCTAGGGGGGCAGGGGAGAACAGAGCCAGGCCAGGCCCCGTATGCTTAGTCCAGCTCCTGTCTGGACCTGCTCTCACCCTCTGGTTTCCATCGCTGCCCTGGGGATAACTTGACTCACTTCTTCTGATTTCCCCTCTTGTTCCTCATGTGGCATTTCCATGCAAACATGCCACTTCAGATGCTGTGACGGGAGGTGGGTGCTGCCCTGGTGAGGGAGGTCCCTGTCTGCGGGCATGCTGGGGACACTGATCTCTGCTGCACCCGCTCGGGGAAGCCGGCCCCTGGAACTGCCCGGCCAGCCTCCCTCTGCCCGCTGTGGGTCCCACACCCCGGGCTGGCGGGGAGGGGATCATTCCAACAGTCCCCACACCCACAGAGGCTCAGACAGAGGCAGCCAGGTCCCAGAGTGGCTGGGACCTAGAGGGGGCAGGTGGGCTGGGCGTGGAGGCAGGAGGTTTATGGCTCATGAATGAAGCTTCGGGGCAGGAGGGGAAGAACGTGGGGAGCGATTGCTCTTGGAGTATCTCTTCTGGAGGGTTCCAGGCCCAGAGGGGAGGAAGGGACAGTACCCCTTGCCCTGGCACTCCCCCAGATCCGTGTTTCTGGTGGCTCAGACAGAGACGAGCACCCGTGGCCCCCCCTCCTGCTCTCAGAAGCTTGGTTGGGGTTTGGTGGGGGTGTCCCCACCTCCCCTCAGGGAGCCTCACTGGCCTGGGCTAGTGTCCCTGGCCAGGACGGCCAGGCGGGTGGCTGAGCCCAGCGGGCACCTGGAGCCCTGCAGCTTCCCGCGGCCAGCCTTCCACCCCCTTCCCTCCAGCAGTCTGGGGGCCGTGGCCACCCCTGCCCCGGGATTGGCTGGTGGAGGTGTCCCCTCTGCGGCCTACATTCCCTCACAGGAAGCAGGAAGCAGGCCGAGCGTGTCCTCGTAGAATTGAATAGCAGGAAGTCTCTCCATTTACACAAAGAAAGTTGGCAGATGTAAGCAGGCGTCCCAACCACAGGGCCGGGACTGCCAGGCAGGCGGGGCCTGGGCGTCACACCGGCTCCCCGCGCACAGCCGGGCTGTGGGCTAAGTGGGCGCCCACTGGGACGGGGGTCCGAGCCCGGCCCTCCTGCCAGCTGACGGCCTCCTGTCTGCCCGCAGCCCCCCATCAGCACCCCACGCCGCTCTGACTCGGCCATCTCCGTCCGCTCCCTGCACTCGGAGTCCAGCATGTCCCTGCGCTCCACATTCTCGCTGCCCGAGGAGGAGGAGGAGCCGGTAGGTGTGGCCGGGCAGGCTCGGTGCAGACTCCAAGGGACCCTCCCCGTCCTGGGGCGGTGGGGGCACCTTCCCCTCAGGCCCTGATCGGGGCCCCTGATCCGCACGGGTCCACGTCAGGGACTCGGGGGGCTGGGCTGGGTCCCCCAGGCACCTTCTTCTCACTCCCCACCCTAGGGGCTGCCCAGGCATCAGCTTTGGGAATGAAAGGCGGGTTCCACGTGGGGCCCTTTCTAGTCTCTGTCCCAGGGAGAGGGTAGGTGTCATGGGGTGAGGGCATGGCTGGAGGGGTCCTTCCTGCTCAGGTCTGCTGGAGCTCAGGCCCAGCTGTAGGCTTCAGCGGACTCCTCCTCTCAGGACACATCCTGGCAGAGGTGCTTCCACCCCAAGAGGGCAGCCCAGGCCCGCAGAGGAAGGGGCTGGGGCCCTGGGTGCCCGCACTCATGTCAGCAGTCCCAGGCCCCACCCTCACCCAGCCCTGCCTGTTCTAGGAGCCGCTGGTGTTTGCCGAGCAGCCCTCGGTGAAGCTCTGCTGCCAGCTCTGCTGCAGTGTGTTCAAGGACCCTGTGATCACCACGTGTGGGGTGAGGCTGCCCCTCCCCGACCTGTGCACCACCGTGAGGCCCCTTTCATGAGGAGCCTTGGCCTCGCTCACAGGCCTGGTCTGGCCGCCCAGCAGGTGCCCTTTGCAGTGGGCACGGGGTGGGGGCAGCTCTGCGGCCACACCCCAATCCGCCCATTGTCTCCACAGCACACCTTCTGTCGAAGATGCGCCTTGAAGTCAGGTAGGGCCCTCTCAGCCTAGGCTCGGCCAACTTTATTCCCCAGCGGTGGGAGGTCCCTCCGGGGACGTCCGGCCTGGGTCCAGCACTGATGGAGACCCTGGCTGCACAGCCGCTTCTCCCTAGTCCTCCTGCGGCAGTGGTTCCTGGGTGACTGCTCAGGCCAGGCTCGGGCCAGGCTCAAGACCTTGACGAGCACGGCAGCTCAGAGCCCGAGCACGGCAGCTCAGAGCCCGCCCCACGGCGGGTGTGGGTGGGCCTTCTGGGCACAGTGCCCACTCTCTCGGATGCTGCCCCTGCTGTCAAGGCTGCCGGCCTCACCGTCTCAGGCCTTAGCAGCTGGCCCAGGACTGGCCCTCTCTGTGCTCTGTCCTCAGCTCTCTTGGCCCTGCCCCAGACTCTCGGGTCAACTGAGAGGCCTCTGCCACCACCTGCTCACCCAGTGGTCATTCTTGGTGGCCCAGCCGTGCACCCTTTCCTGTTACGGGCACCCCAGAGGGGAAGGTAGATGGGTGGATTAGGCCCCTGACAGAGGCTCAGCCCACCCAGCTGGGGGAGCATGTTCCAGGCCTGCCGCCCACCAGGGAATGGTCTCCCCCAGAGCAGCCTGGCCACAGTGCCCAGGGCAGGGCTGCCAGGGGAGATGGTGGCTGGGTGGGCTGTGGGGTCAGCATGCCCTCCCCCCCAGAGAAGTGTCCCGTGGACAATGCCAAGCTGACGGTGGTGGTGAACAACATCGCAGTGGCTGAGCAGATTGGCGAGCTCTTCATCCACTGCAGGCACGGTTGTCGGGCAGTGGGGGGCGGGAAGCCCACTGTCTTTGAGGTGGACCCCCGAGGGTGTCCCTTCACCATCAAGCTCAGCGCCCGGAAGTAAGTGCCCCCCTCCATCCCCAGTCCCCACCCCCCAGGGGTACTGAGAACCAGTGCCCCTGGGGACTCAGCCCCCCCCCCACGTCCCACCTCCTCCAGGGACCACGAGGGCAGCTGTGACTACAGGCCTGTGCGGTGCCCCAACAACCCCAGCTGCCCGCCCCTTCTCAAGATGAACTTGGAGGCACATCTCAAGGAGTGCGAGCACATCAAGTGTCCCCACTCCAAGTACGGGTGAGTGGGCGGGGGTGGGCGCACGGGGCTGCCCCGGGGTGGGGGTGGGCGGACCTGAGGGGGCGAGTGGGCCTGGGCTGGCATTCACGGTCCCTCCTTCAGCAAACCTTGGTTGAGATCCACTTGTCTGCCAGGCTCTGGGGAGACGACCTTAGCGGGAACCACACCATCGTCTATGTAATTACAAACTGAGGTACAGGTGCTGAGGAGACCTGCGCACCATGGGAACACGGGGGATGGAGCGGTCAGGGAGCTGCGGGTGGTTGGGGAAGGCACGAGCTGAGAATGAATGCATGCGTGGGCACGAGCCAGGCAAAGACCTGGGTGAGGGCTTCCGGCAGCAGAGGGGAGGTAGGGGTGGGAGAAGAGGCAGCAGCTGGCTCTTTAGGGCAGAAGCTGGTGAGGTGGTGGAGGAGCCCTTGAAGAGCTCTGAGCAGGAGTGAAGTGACTGGATTGCTGGGTAGAAGCAGGGTGGGTAGGTGGGTTGGTGGGCATGCAGGTATGCAGAGGATGGTGGCCCATTGGAGCTGCAGTGGGCACACAAGTGGGATTTGAGAGAGATTCTTGGGGTTGGGGAGGCAAAGGGAAGGGCCCAACTGGGCGGGCAGTTGAACAGGTGGGCAGGGCAGCTGTCCTGTCTCTCCAGGTGCACGTTCATCGGAAACCAGGACACGTATGAGACGCACTTGGAGACCTGCCGCTTCGAGGGCCTGAAGGAGTTCCTTCAGCAGACGGATGACCGCTTCCACGAGATGCACGTGGCACTGGCCCAGAAGGACCAGGAGATCGCCTTCCTGCGCTCCATGTTGGGCAAGCTCTCAGAGAAGATCGACCAGCTGGAGAAGAGCCTGGAACTCAAGTTCGGTGAGAGCCTGGCCCAGAGGTGGCAGGGGTGCAGCCCCTCCTCCTGGTCCCTGACACCCTTCTTCTGGTCCCTGCTACACAGATGTCCTGGATGAAAACCAGAGCAAGCTCAGCGAGGACCTCATGGAGTTCCGGAGGGACGCGTCCATGTTGAATGTGAGCGGGCAGGGGCCTGATGCAGGGAGGTGGGGTGGGGTGGGGGACACAGGACCATCTCTCAGCTTGGGTCCCAGCAGGAGGCTTGTTCCCACTTATGATTAGGTGTCTGTGCTGGGAGGGCTGTTGCTGCATCTGCCCTGCCCTGGCAGAGCTCAGGCCTGGGGCCATGGAGGGCTGTGGAGCCCCGCCCACCCCACCCTCTGCTCTACTCTTGGCCTCGCAGGACGAGCTGTCCCACATCAATGCACGGCTGAACATGGGCATCCTAGGATGTGAGTATGGGCCCACTGCCGCTCCCGCCGCCATCCCCGAAGCCCCTTCCAGTTCCCCCATCACCAGTTCCCCCATCTCTCTGCAGCCTACGACCCACAGCAGATCTTCAAGTGCAAAGGAACTTTTGTGGGTCACCAGGGCCCTGTCTGGTGTCTCTGCGTCTACTCAATGGGGGACCTGCTCTTCAGCGGCTCCTCTGACAAGACCATCAAGGTGGGTAGGGTCCTGCCTAGGGGCTTGGCAGCCTGGCGGGGCAGGGGTGGGCATTGCACACCAGCCTCTGCCGGCTCCAGGCCTGCTCATGGATGGGGCTTTCTCCCCTCCCCCCATGCTCACGTCATTCCTGCCATGGTGCCCCCTGCCACTGGGCTGACCCTGCTGGGACCTGCCCTGATCCTGGTCTCTGCAGGTGTGGGACACGTGTACCACCTACAAGTGCCAGAAGACGCTGGAGGGCCATGATGGCATTGTGCTGGCACTCTGCATCCAGGGGTGAGTGCAGGCACACGTGTGTCCACAGACCACGGGGCCCATGTGGAGCCAGGGATGGGAGGTCCTGTGGGCTGTGAGCTTGAGTCCGTGGCTGCACGTGTCCTAGAGTGGCTCTTGTCTGCTCCTCCTGGGAGACGCCCTCGACCCTGAGCAGGGCTGAATCATGGGTGGCAGCATGTGGGCCTTCCACCTCTGAAGCCGTACATTCACAGAGCAGAGCCTTGGCCCTGGAGAGCCTCAGGCAGCCAGAGGACAGAGGTGGGACCAGAGAGTGGAGGCAGGGCCTCAGCTACTGCTGGCCGACAGCCAGAGCCCGGGGCGCAGCACCACAGAGAAGCCTGCCTGGCCACCCCCTCACCCCTAGGGTGCCCCTTCTAGACCTTCCCTCCTGTCTTGTGTCATGAGGCTTCTTGTGGGCGTGAGTGTGTGAGTGTGTGTGTATGAGAGAGAGATGCTGGCTCACAGGAAGCAACAGCTTGACTGCCAACAACACTAACAGGGGTAATTACCTCCCAGCTCAGCTGTCAGATGCTTGCCAGGCAGGCACGGGGCTGGGCCTCCACTTCCAAGGTCCCCTCGCTAAGGCAGGAAAACCAAGGCTGGGCTCAGCAGTGATCCTGGCAGTGGCCCAGGCTGCTGGTTCCCAGTGGCCAGTGCTCCCCCAGCCTGGCCAGGGCATTGTCAGCAAGGGTACTGGCTTCTCGCACCCTGACACCTTGGCTTTGCTTCCCCAGGTGCAAGCTCTACAGCGGCTCAGCCGACTGCACCATCATCGTGAGTGGGGCCGGCGGGCGGGCCGGGACCCCCAGGCTCACTGTGCCATTGGGGCCTGGGCTCGGCCAGGGCCTAAGGCTTCCCGTCCTCCCTCCCGCCAGGTTTGGGACATCCAGAACCTGCAGAAGGTGAACACGATCCGGGCCCACGACAACCCGGTGTGCACGCTGGTCTCCTCACACAACATGCTCTTCAGCGGCTCCCTGAAGGCCATCAAGGTCAGGCAAGGTGGTGTACGTGTGTGCGGGGCGGCAGGGTGCCGGTGCCTGCCCCCCAGGCCTGCGCTCACAGCCACTCCCACAGGTGTGGGACATTGTGGGCACCGAGCTGAAGCTGAAGAAGGAGCTCACCGGCCTCAACCACTGGGTGCGGGCCCTGGTGGCTGCCCAGAGCTACCTGTACAGCGGCTCCTACCAGACAATCAAGGTGCGCCCTCCCTGTGCCGGCTCCATCTGCCCTGCCCCCACGCTGCCAGCGTGGGGAGACCCTCACATGCACCCTGGGTGGTGGGCTGCTGAGAGGCCCAGGGGATGAGGCGCCTGGCCTGGGACCAAGTGGCCCGCACTTGCCCATAGATCTGGGACATCCGGACCCTCGACTGCATCCACGTCCTGCAGACATCTGGCGGCAGCGTCTACTCTATTGCCGTGACGAATCACCACATTGTCTGTGGCACCTACGAGAACCTCATCCATGTAAGAGTGGATGCCAAAGGGCAGGGTCTGACTCTGGGCCCCTGTCTTCCCCGTCTGTGTCTCTGACCTGCCTGTGCCACCCCCTCAGGTGTGGGACATTGAGTCTAAGGAGCAAGTGCGGACCCTGACAGGACACGTTGGCACCGTGTATGCCCTGGCGGTCATCTCGACGCCAGACCAGACCAAAGTCTTCAGCGCATCCTACGACCGGTCTCTCAGGGTGCGAGCTGGCCTACCGACAGTGGGAGGCTCAGGGCGGGTGCCAGGCCTGGGCGGTCCTCATGTCCCATGTGCCCCCAGGTCTGGAGTATGGACAACATGATCTGCACGCAGACTCTGCTGCGTCACCAGGGCAGTGTGACTGCGCTGGCAGTGTCCCGGGGCCGGCTCTTCTCAGGAGCCGTGGACAGCACCGTGAAGGTCAGTGCCTTGGCTCAGGCCATCCAAAGGGGCTGCATGGGGGGAGCGGGGGTGGGGGAGTTGGGATCTAGCGGCCCTGGGCAGGGGGCAGTGAAGGCAGGTATGGACGGCAGCTGGCTCTGGGACTGGATGGCCAAAGGGGCACCTGAAACAGAGCCTTTCCCCTGCAGGTGTGGACTTGCTAACAGAATCCAGGCCAGGTCTTGGCTTCCTCTGGGCCTGACCTAGGCCTGTCCAAGTCCGGCGAGCCACATGACTGGTCTTGGGGTCTCTGCCTACCCCATAGGAACAGGCAGGCAGACTCAGCCAGGCAGACAATGCCCTCCCTGCCCTGCGCCCAGTGAGCCTCTCTCTGCTTGGCCTTGTCATCGTCACTGCCAGGACAGTGCCCAGACCGTCTGGGTGCCAGGTACGACGCTCACCAGGCCCACCCTCCATCCCCACTCCAGATGGACTGTGGGCCTTTTTACTCACCTTTTCTACTGTTTTTAGACTGTGTATAAATTTGATTACTTCCTGATTGAAATAAAAGCTGCACAGACTGTGGCTTTGAATGGGGATGGTCCTCAGGGGGAGGAAGAGGCCACCTGAGGACACTGGGGAGCACAGGCACCAGCAGCCAGTGTGAGAGAAGCTGGGGTGGGAAGCTGGGCAGGGACCACAGGAGGCTCCTGTTGATATCCCCAGGATGTACACTCTTGGTGACTTCTCCTCCCTGTCGGGAACAGGCTAGCCCCCCACTTGCCCCAATGTACATACCCCAAAAAAGTGAGCCAGGCAGCTCCATATTCTGCTGTTTATTGACAGCTGACAGTAGCTCCCTGCCCGGACCCCCCCTCCCCACCTGCTGGCCCTGGCCTGGGCCACCCACTGAGGAGAGGCCAGGTAGCTGGCCAGGCCCACCCACCCGGGGACATGCCAGCACATGACCACTGGAAGGGGCCCCACACACCCAGGCACCACCTTGGCAGACCCCCTCAGCCCACCCGAATCACAATCGCTGGTTTTCGGCGCTTTTTAATTCTCTTTTTTGTTAAGAAATGTCAAAGTTGTGCCCAACACGTGGATCAGCAGACACGATAGAGGAGGCCAGTCAGTAGTTTTTGGAGTGGGGAGACGGAGGAAGAAGGCGAGAACGACCACACAACACGGCCTCAGACCATGAGCAGAGCGTCTGTAGGAACTGGAGCGGGGGTGGGCTGGCTGCGTGGGGCCAGCTCAGGGCCCCAAGGAGGGAGGGTTGGGCACACCCTCACACGCACCACACGCAGCCTGGCATGCATGCCCTGCACCCACTGCTGTCACCCAACTGACGCGCCCACGTTCACCACGCTGTGCACACAGCTCCCCTGAAGCCCAGATGCACCCTAACACCAGCACCCATGGGAGAGGCAGAGCCCTCCCCACTGTCTCCACGGCGTGGATGACACAGCCCAGCGGCGAGCAAGGCACATCCTTCAAGTTCTTCAGATGCAGAGAAGTTAGGAGAGAGAGCAGAGGGAAGGCCCTGGCGGAGCACAGACCCCTCCCCCAGACCCCAGCCTCCTGTTTGTGCTACTGGGCCCGGGGGTCTGGCCACTCCTGGACAGAGGGAGGGAAGGATACACAGACAGGTGGCCGGGGCCTCTAACAGCTTTTGTCTTGAGCTGGACTCCAGCGTCCTTGCAGTTGGTAAATGGTTTTCTATAGAATCAATAATATTTCTTCTTTCTTTAAATATATATTTGTTAAAGTTATACCTTTTTGTTTCTCTGGGGAAATCTGCCTCAGCTTATTCCCAATAAATTAATACTCTTCAATAGCTTATATTTAGGGAGGGGGGTGCAGTGGGGCAGGGGGCCCAACCCCAGCCCCTTGTGCTGCGCTGGAGTGGCTGGCAGAGGTCCCCAATGGGCAGTTCTGTGCTGGGCATAGGCCTGTGCTCTGCCACAGATTGGGGAGGGGGCTACAGCAGCTGCCCCCCTCCCGCTGCCTCCCAGGGTGGACCCAACCTGGACTCAGGGCAGGCGGTTCAGGAGTTTCCCCTCCTCCACCCACAGCGGGCAGAGCCTGGTGGTGGGTGGGCAGGTGGCCCAGCAGTTATTGCACAGGGAGCAGCAGATAAGGAAGGGCACCCACAAGGCAGCAGCATCTGCCCAGAGCCCTTGGGTCCTCCAACCAGGCAGTCCTCCAAGCTGGGCCCAGGGGCAGGAGTTGTGCTTGTGCGGGGTCTGGACAGAACGGCCCACCCCCGCCTCGTGCCCGCGGCCGCCTAGCGGGCTGCCCCCTGCACCCCTCCCCCTTGGTCCACCGCCCTGCCCGCTCGCGCCGCCCCCAGAGGTACCCATCCTGAGGTAAAGGTCAGTGTGCGGGCCGGAGCCCAGGCGGCGCGGGTGGGCCGAACTTGGGCGGCCGCGTCACTCCAGCATGGCGTCCAGCTGGTCGGCCAGGTCGTCAAACATGCTGCCAATGTCGTCCAGGATGCTGCCGGTGCTCTTCTCGGCGGCCGAGGGGCTGGGGGCGGGCGCAGCGTGAACTGGCTGGGTCAGCGCAGAACTTCCAGCCCCCATGTCCCGCCCATTCAGCGCGAAGTCCCGCCCCTCGCGGAGGCCACGCCCCCGCATTCAGGGGCGGGGCCGGATCAGTCCACGTACTCCCCACATCTGCCCCGCTCCGCCCCCTGCCCACTCACAGTAGCCTCTGTCGGGGACTGGGGCAGCTCGTAGAGCCGCGCCCACGCCAGGCCGTGCCCGGCGCAACTCGGGCCCGGCGCAACTCGGCCCCGCTCTCGCCGGGCAGCCTCCAGGTGTGCACCCGCCGCGGGAGCGCACAGCCCCCCACCTACGCCCACGCCGGACCGGGTCCTGCACCTACCGCGAGCCTTGCGCGTCCTCCTGCCGGATCTTCTCTTCTACGGCTTGCAGCGCCGCCGCCAGGCACGCGCTTGTCTCCTCAAGCTTCTGCCTGGCGCTGTCCCCCGGCGAGGCGCCGTCGGGCGCGGCGGGGGGCCCGGCTACCGCTGCAGCAGCGCGCGGCGGCTTGGCGGGCACGTGCAGCGCGGGCACACCGGGGGACGGGGGCCTGGCCGGGCTGGCACTCAGCGAGGGTGGCGTGCTGGCGGGCTTGGTGAGGGCAGCAGGCGGCTGGCGTGCCGGCGAGGGCGACGGGCTGGCGCTGCCCGACTGCAGCCCCGCCGCTGCCTTGGCCGGCTTGGGCGCCGTGGGCGGTGGTGGCGGCTTGGGAGACACGGGCGGCGGCGTGCCGTGGGCACGCTTCACCTCTGCGGGGAAGAAGAGAGTCGCACCGGGGTGGGAGGTCGCGCGGCGCGCGCGCTGCCCATCCCGGCATAAGCCCTGCCCAAGCGCCCTGCCTCGAACCCGGAATTAGAGATAACGCCCTTTGCACTGCCGCCGGGCTCCAGCTCCAGCCCTCCGCCCCCGGCCTCCCTGAGGCTGCCAGGGAGCGCGCTTCCCTGTGCAGGCCTGCTTGGGTCACTGCTTCCAAACCCCGCCCGGTCCGCCCCCGACCTCCATTCCCCTCCAGGTGTGGCCTGTTGCAGACACCGGCCCTTCCGTTGCTTGAATGCCACAGGGCCTTTGCACCTCTGATCCTTCTGCCTGGAAGTCTCTCCCCTCCCTCCTGTGCTTGGGTCATTTTACAGCCAGGTCAGAATCCTCCCTTAGCCTTCCAGCATCGTGGGCCTGTCCTCCTTCCACAGGTGCTGCTATTCATGGGTTTCTGTGTCTCCTTCGCTGAGGAATGTAAGGATCATCCACCCTTGTCTCAGCTCTCGTTGGTGAAGTGGTCCAGTAGGTGGATGAGCGAGAGGGTCTGAGGATACTTTCCCACCCCACTCCACCTGGCCTTCATCAAATCCAAGAAGTGGAAAACCCCTCAGACCATGGCATGGGGAGCTGGAGGAGGGCCCTTCCCCAGCTGGTTCCCTGCAACCTACCTGGGCTGCCAGGACCTGGCAGTGGCACCTTCTTGGAGGCAGGTGTGGGTGAGCCCTGGATCTTGGGCACGGGCTGAGCCAGAATGGGCTTGGGAGAGACAGGTGGCTTGGCCGGCTTCCGGGCATCACTGTCTGGCGGGGGCAGCGGGGGCAGGTGCAACAGGTCAGAGGGCGGGGGCTCAGCGGGTGGCGGTGGCGGGGGCAGCTCTGGGGGCCCAGCCTGCTCAGAGGCCGGACGGCGGCGCACAGTGCCTGTTCCATTCTGGTACACGGACAGTGGTGGTAGGGGAGGCTCGGGACCTGCCTCCCTCTCCTTGGCCTTGGGCCGGCGCTTGACCGTGTCGGACTCAGTGAGGATGAACTTGACATTCTCCTGCTGGCTCTGCTTGGCTCGGATGCGCCTCTTCAGCGTGGCACTGGCCTCCACCCTGGCCAGTGGTGGGCCCTCCACACCCGCCTCACCCTTGGCTGGACCTCGAGGCCGCTGCCGGGTAGCGCCATCTTCCACAACGTGGCCGTGATCTGCAGGCCCCCCTGGCTCTCCCGGACCCCGGCGAGCAGTGGCCAGAAGTCCTGTGACAGGCCCACTCAGTGTGCGGCGCCGGTTCACCACCTCGCCGTCAGGCCCAATGGCCTCCTTGTGCTTCACCGAGGCCAACACCGTTGCCACCCGGCCTGGCTCTGGGCTGGCGGGGCGAAGCATGGGGTGGCCCTCAGGGGGCCTGCGGGCTGCCCGGCCCCCACCCCCAATGGATGACAGCTCGAGCATGGCTGCAATGCTCTTCACGCTGCCAGCGCTTCCTGTGTCCACACTGCCAGCCAGGTCACTAGCCCGCCGGCGCTGTGCCCGGACCCCCAGCCGGCCGTCCTCAGCCCCAGCCACCTCAGTCTCCGCATCTGGCACTGACTCATCAGCCAGGTTGGCACTGGCCATGGATGAGCTGGAGCGCTTGGGTGGGGGTGGGGGGGGGCCCTTCTTTCGCGGCCGCACAGCGAACGACTGGCTGCGGTTGACGTTCTTGTCAGCGCCAGCAGGTGCCCGCACCGAGTGGCTGCGGCCCACGCGCCGCTGGACTGTGGCGTAGGGCCCCACCGTGGCCGGCACCAGCAGCTCGTCCCGCTCCGGCTCGCTGTCAGACGCCGCATAGCGATTCAGGCTGTGGGCACGCTTCTTGGGCCGCCCTGACTCCATGTCGGCCTCAGGGGGCAGGCACAGCGTGGGCACAGGCGCGGGCACGGCCGCAGGCACAGGCCCCGGAGCAGCCGGCCCTGTCTCGCTCTCCACGGGTTGGGGCAGCACGTAGGCAAAGCCACGGTGTGTGGGTGACTGAGGCAGCGAGCGGGGTGACATGGGTCGCTCCATCGGTGGCAGCAGCTGTGGGGTGGGCTTCACCTTGGCTGTGGCTGGGGCTGGACCATGAGGCCCCCCCAGGGCTTGCGGGGAGCCTGGCCGGGCTTTTGTGGGAGTCTGGGGGGGCGTGAAGTGGCTGGTACCTGGTGGAAGGACCTGCCGCGGCTTGCCAGGCACTGGGGGCACACTGGCCCGCTTGACGCTGTGGCCGTGGCGGCTGGGCCGGGCCTCCTTGGGGGGGGTACCCGGGGCCGGCCCCTC